AAAAAAAAAAAAGAAAACAATAACTTAAGTGTTGACGAACTCTAATGTTCTCTCTTTTTTAACGCTATGCTTGTCCGCTTTTCCGAGACGATGTCTTCTGTTCTTCTTCACCCGGAGAAAAGAAGAAATAAAGAACGAAATAAACGGAAAGCAAAGAGATACAGGATGTTCTTGGGGACAACTACAAGAAAAAAAAAATGATAAATACAACACTAAACGGTCTTGTACTATGTACATCAATGTACTAATTATACACATTCTATGATTTTTCATTTGTATATTTATGTGAAAAGAAAAATATAGAATACGTAATTTTCTATTTCTACTCATATATATATTATACGAATTATTATGACAATAATTCTTACTCGTGTAAAAATAAATTAGTATTGTCATATAGATATGATGTATAATATATCGAACTATTAATAACTAATAGAGACACAGATGTACATATGCATATTGTAATATATAGAGCCGGCAATATTTTTATGATAGATAAGAATATATTAGTGTCTTTGTCAGAAAATAATCGTATACATCTGTAACGATAAGTATCATAAAAATCAGATTTCTTCTACGAAATGGATGGATTGAAAACATCCGGTTTTATATCTATTTATTGATTAATTCTATGCTATAAAAGGGTCAACAAGTAGAATTTGACGAATTATATTTCGAACAAAAATTTTTATTAAATATGAATGTCATAATGAATTTTTGAGACTAATAACAAAAAAAAACAAAACAGAAGAGATAATTAAAACAAAAACAAAAATTTCAAATAGATATACATATTTATTATTAATAAAAGAAGTTCTATTCCCAATGAATAATATGTGTTCACACCGGACCTATGTTAATCATCAAGAATATTTTTTGTCTTTTTTTTTTTTTGTCTCTTTTAAAGATCATTCATTCGTATTCGACTATCCATATTCATATGTTGCGATAAACTGTTCGATCTAATAATTATATCATTATCCGTTGTACCATTTAATGTATGTCGAGATTTCAGTACACTACGAAAATCAATTTGTTTTGTTTCATTTATTGTTCGACGTTTTGTTAATGTTTGTCCCGTACTTAAATCCTGACCAGTTTTACGAAGTAAAACATGAAATGGATATTTTGGTTGTGTAGACATAGATGGTTCCTAGAAAAATATAGATAAAAATTTTTGAATTTATTTTTCCAAAAAAAAAAAAATTTTAATTTTTAATTTTAGAATAAATTAGATATGACTTATGTGTATAGATATTTTTTTTAAAGAATACTTGATGTCATAAAATATAATGAACTGTCATATTTTATATTTTAAATAAAATATATATTAAAAAAATGATTGAAATTTCCGACTGTATTCTTAAAAAAAGAATTTAAATGTAGTTCTTTTTTTTTCAGGAAATGAAGTCAAGTGTTGGATGAATTATTATTTTTAAACTCTAGGACAAGAAAATTGAACTTCCTAATCATCATAAATATCTGTCATTCACCTATTATTTACTGTGCATATTAAATTAAGAAATGGAATCGGTACTTTTGCAAAATGTAAATAATGCTACATGTACTTTGAATCATGAACTATTATTTGATGACGAATGTAGATGGACATATTCTCTTTACACTCATACTACGAAACGAATATTACCTAGGAAATAAAATGCAAACTTTGACATAATAACAAGTAACGCGATGCAAACGTCGCTAAATCCTCTACTGAAAGAAAATATTTAAATAGTAGTAGAAACTATATTCTATTGTATTCTGAACTCTATGTTATAAAGTCACATATGAAAATTTTAAAATGATGTTTGAAATGGTTTAAAGTTATTAATCTCATTGATCTGGACAATTTTGCTGTAAGTAACAGCTCAAAATTCCTTCTGAGTCTGTTAACGATTGAGATTAAGTGTGTTCAGCAAAATTCTTCTGTAAACATTCACTCTCATGTACTCAACACATGTACTTTCTTTCGTTCTGCGTAAGAAACATACAAAAATTTTGTTCGTTGTAGCTGTTCAGCATATTACTTTCCTTTCAGTAGGACGAACAATAGGCGCCCATGTGCTCCATAGAAATCGCCCACTATATCTCTAATTAAAGATTACAATCCGTATACGGTCAAATACGACATATTAACGGGATCTTATTTCTTCGATAAAAACAAAGTCAATAGAATACGTTATTATTACGAAATCTTTACAGCATTTTACGGTGTCGTTTACGGTCAGTAATATTGAGGTGTGTTATAATGAAATAATACGATTTAAAAAACGGTCGTTTACGATGATTCGTAAAGTTTGATTTGTAATTACAAGTCAATAAATCCGTAGCCTAGAACAGGGAGATTGTCAACAATTTTTAGGAGTTGGAAGGGCAAACAATTCAGTAGAAAGTATTTTCATCCTCGAAATGATGACCGGTATCTCTCACAACAGATGATCTGCCATAGAAAAGTAAATGACAATTCAAAATTCAGTTTCTGTCTCAAGTTCCGCAAAAAGTCTGACATTTTCGGAGGAAAGCTTCGCGCCTAATTGAGAATCTTGTTCTAGAGTTATTTTGTTAATAATTATGATTTTAGATTACTCGTGCAATAGGTTTTGGTTGTTGTTTTGGAGATGATGTAGCATAAGCAGGTAGATTTGATTTATTTTGTAATTTATTATTATTTAAACCAGGTTGTCCAATAACACGTGCTCGTACGCCTGCAATATTTGATGAACGATTAATATTAGAATTTACACCATTATTTAATTGTGTAAAACGTTTAACAACAGGTTGATGAATATTGATATGTTGTCGTTGATATTCTTGTACAGCATTTAAAACAGTTGTTGATTTTGGACTACGACTTTGTTCAATAGATGGATTTATTTGTGATGATAATGTTGTATTTATTTGTATATGATTTTTTATTGGATTAGAATGATGAGTTATGACGGATGTTGTTACTTGAGCACGTGCAAACATGTCTCGAACTTGAGCAAATTTTGAAACGGATGGTGTTGGCGATGGAGAACGATTTGAATGAGATGTTAAAATTAAATTATGATGTATTGGTGATAAACGTGATGTAAATGATAATATTGATGATGATGAATTTATTGGTATTTTAATTGGATTTAATGAATCAGAATGTGATAATGGTGATGGAAAAACTGCACATGTTGATGGTAATGGTAATGGTGGTGGTGGTGGAAAAACATATTGAATAAATTTATTTGCTTGTTTATTATTATTATTATTAATATGATTATTTGTTATTGTTTCAATTGATTTCAATGAAACACAATAATTTGTACGAACAATTTTTGTAAAAAAATCATTATTAAGGAATTCAATTTGTTGTAAAAAACAAAGCATTTGTATATTTAAACGTTGTTTATAAATATAATAAGCTTTTCGAAAAATATAACCACGATAATATTTTTGTATGACAATTGCAGCTGTTTCTTTAGTTAAAGGTTTTTTTATTAATTGAATAAAATGACGTCGTTGTAAATAACCACGTATACATGATTGAATACAAATAATTGCTTTTTCTTTTATTTGTTCATCAGTAATCATTAACTAAGAAAATAAAAAAGAAGATTTTTTTGCATATTGAAAACAAAACAACAACAACAAAGAAACAAACTCGTGAAAATTTTGGATGTCGATTAAGTTCTTGAATAATTATATCATTTGAATGTTTATATTGACGATGTTTAAGATATAAACGTGCTAAATGCATACGTACATATGATTGTATTATTGTAACAGCATTGACCATATCAGAATAAAGACGTGTTAATTGTTCAGCATGATAATATTTTAAAAATACTTTACTTTTACCTTTAACAAAAAAACAAAGAAAATCATTCGAATGAAAGAAAAAATAAAATAATAAAAACCAGTTGTCCAATTTTGCATTTTTAAATGATGTAAAATATTTTCACAAGTTTCACGTGTTAATGGTATATCCATTGTTATTGGATAGACAAGTATTGAATAACGTTGAATAAAATTTGCAAATGGAATACGATGTGAATAACCAAAACGACGTATTTTTGCCGCTACATATAAAAACAAAACAAAACAAAAGATCTTTTATAAATTCTTAAATTTAATTAATTCAATTTTATGTAATAGAATACAAAAGAATAGATCTAGAATAAATATAGCTATCTAAATAATAAGCTATTTTGAATAGATCTTATTTTAAGAATAAGAAATTTGATTAATAATTAGAAATAAGGATTTTCTCAATAACATATTCTTATATAGTTTTCATCTGTTAAATAAAATATTATATAGCAACATTTGTACGATTTTATTATTCAATATTATAATTTTACGAATACTTCTAAATATCATATTCATTCAAAAACATTCGATCAATCTCAAAATAACATTCATTTAAATCTTGTTGCCATATATTACTGTAGGAAGGAAAAAAATAAGTAAAGAATATATTTTTCTCTTAGCTTGAGAGCTTCGCAAACATTAACTGTAATGCATACCGGACAAATTGGCTTAAGAGTGCTTCTGTTTCTCCCTCTTTTTTGACCAAAACTCGACTTCAAGCTGAGCATTAGATATGATAGTCTCAAGTACTGTGTGAAATTAGTTGAAATTCTTTTCTTTTATTTAGTGTAATGGAAAACATCAGTTTTCTCAATCGTAGTTGCTTACGACCTACCTCTAACTTTGTTGGATCGAGCTGGAATTTTTATCATAGATATTTGCAAGTATCCTCCATAGTTTGACTTTCCTATCCGGATTTATAGGATTGTGAAAGTCAACACCCCGATTTGGGCTCCAAACCTTTAATATATTTCTCTCATAAAGCAGAAAGAAAACAGGTTTTTCAAAATGCTAAAAACTACCTTTGCGATATCTTTGAAAAAATTTTCAACCGGATCGGATAATATACCAGAATGCTGTCCTATGGAGAATCAGAGTTACCTCGAACATATGTCTTCTTATTCCAGGTGCTCTACCTATAGTAAAAACTTTCAATCTGATCGGTTGTACACTTTTCGAGAATCAAAAATGGTCAAAATAAAAGGCGAGTAGAGTATCTTTAAGCTTTTTCTCATAATCCGTTGCAAAAATGACTCTGACTATTTTAAATGCATCTCTTCTGAGCATTGGAAGTTCCAAGGAAATGATTGGTTTTTGATCCGTTCTACATTTTAAAACAACAGAACTTATTGAACATTTTTACATAACAATTCAGAATCTTATATCACATGATCATCAAATACGATGGAGACCGATATAGTAGCAAAGAATAGGAACATAGATGAAGAAATCGATTGATTAGTTTATATTTTTCTTCCTATCATTTTGCGTAAGAAAAAAAAAAGAAAAGATGGACATTCACTATTATATTACATGATAGATCTTAAAATGAACGTTATTTCGAGATTGATTGGACGTCCTTCTTGTGAATATGACTGTCTTGTCTATCAAATGAAAATCCTATGTTAAAAAGTTACAGATCTCAACTTTTTGGAATAAAGAAAAAAAAATCTCATTTTTTTTAAACTAATCTGGTAATCAGATCTCTGTCTAGGTATGTCATGGATCCGAAGTCTTTTAGAGTTTCGTTAGTCTCATTGAGCTCTACTCATAGCCAAAATATGGAGTCGAACGACTTCTGACAATTGAGATGTTCTCTCGTAACTGTCATAAGATTATTCGTAGGAAATTATTTGCTTAGAATTTTGGATTTTTTTAAATATGCAATTGGATTACATATTTAAGGCATTATATTCGTGCAAGAACTCAGACATCAAATCATATGAAAAGTAATTTATAAAAACATCTACAATAAACGATTAAGGTGAGTATGTTAACGTGCGATCTTCAATCGAATTGGGAAATTTATGTTAAAACTTGAATGAGTCTGTAGATCGATGTCGAATATGGAATTTTAATAACAATTGAATCGATAGCTCGAGGTTTGATCTTTCATAAACGACATGATTTTTTATCTGATACCTCGTTTTTTTTTGCCAAAATTTTTAATGATCTCCTTCATCTTCTGCTTGAAGAATATACTTTTTCTAAGGAAAAAAATGGTAAATTTTATTCGTTTTTTTTTGATTGCGCCACTCAGAATTCTCTGTGAGACAATCATTCAATATATTTAAGTTTTGTTCTGTTTGAAAGAATCTGTGAAGGTGCGGTACATATCAGGATTCATTTTCTGAGAGGCTTTCGATGTATTGAGCTTGTCATTCTTTTTCTTCCACATAAAAAGTAAGAATTTAAAAAAAGCCTCTACCAGGGGCTATACTCTTTCAAATAGAAAAGATTAAATCTATAGAATGAGGATCCAAAGAGAATTTCGTGTCGTTAAATGACGCTTGTTTGTTGAATATTTCTCTCGAATGTCGTGATATTGCGCTGAAAATTTTACCATCGCTTCTCAATTACAGCCTCGACATATCCTAAAAATTTCACGTGATTTAAATATCTCTAGCCCAAGATCATTTTTTTAAAATTTTAATGTAAAGTTTCCTACTCAATCCAACATTGAAAGTAATCTCAGTTTGAATGCTAACAAATATATTGATGTATATTATCAACTGATAGCATACGTTTGAAGTCTCATATTGTCTATTCAAAGTTTATATGTTTAATTTTAATCAACAGTAACTCTTCGTTTATATACAGAAAGAAACTTAGAAGTTTTAAAAATATTTCTTATATCAAAAAAGAAAATATTCATCTATGTCTGTCTTTTCGTGTATTTTGAATCGCATATTAGATATTTCACATCGTTTTATTGATCATTAAATTAATCTTCTACGTAAATTTTATTTTCATTCATTAAATATCTATTCTTGTCGTTCAAGACTAGAGGTGTGCGAAATCAAAAAATAAAAATCTTTCGGAACTATAAGCAAAAAAAGTTATTTGAACCGGAACAAAAAACTATAATTAAATTCTCTATAACTTTCAGCAAATTATATTATAAATCACACTAATAAAAGAAAAATTCATAAGAGACGACAAAAAAAGTAATATGGTTCGAAAAATCAGTAAAACAGCCATCACTCAGTTCTGTACAATCATG